CATTTGATCTTCAAAACATGGTGTGTATTATGGCATCCAAACAGTTCAATTTTGGTCTCATCTGACCAGACTATATTTTCCTAGTATTTCACAGGTTTGTCTAAATGTTGTGCAGAAAACTTTAAACAAGCTTCAACATGATTTTTTTTTCAGTGATGGAGTCTTGCGTGGTGAGCGTGCATACAGGCCATGGCAGTTGAGTGCATTACTTATTGTTTTCTTTGAAACAATTGTAGCTGCTAATTCCAGGTCTTTCTGAAGCTCTACACAAGTGGCCCTTGGCTCTTGGCCAACGCTTCTGATAATTCTTTTCAATCCTCTGTCAGAAATCTTGTAAGGAATACCTGGTCATTGCCAGTTTATGGTGAAATGATGTTCTTTCCATTTCTGGATTATGGCCCCAACACTGGAACATTCAGAAGTTTAGAAATCCTTCTCTAACAAATGCCATCAGTATGTTTTGCAACAGTAATGTTGCGAAAGTCTTGAGAAAGCTCTTTGCTTTTACCCATCATGAGATGTTTGTGTAATGAGACTGAACCAGCTGATATTAATTTGCACTGACAAGGGGCAGTATTGCTTTCTAATTACTGACAGATTTCCGCGGGTGTCTTGGTTTTCCATGCCTTTTTGCACCTCCCTTTCTTCATGTGTTTAATATTTTTTCCCTTTGTCATTCCATTTTATTACACATAACTTCATTTCTGAATTTCTTATCCAAATGCGCAAATGCCAACCATGAGAATGGAAGGCAAATATTTCTGATGAGTACACACCTGAGAGGGGAGCACAGCACAATTGAAGATTGTTTCTTGAATATTCACATGGTGATTTTTGAAAAATGATTATGAAGTAATTCACATGGTGATCATAAAAGGACTGGAATATGTGGACTTTGTATGCGTTTATTTTACAATCATCTATAGAGCGCCACAATAATATTTTGTATTTACAAAATATTATATATATATATATATATATATATATATAGCACATCTTTCCAGTAAATGCAGATTCCTCTGAACTGTGTCTCTTTAAAAACACTGCACAAAAATACCTGTTGATCTTTTCCGAAATCCAGGGTGTTCCTAACTTCCTGCAGTGAGCTAGCAATGCTGCACAGATACTGTATTTCAAACAGTGTTGGTGAACATTGTCAGTCTAGGACAGGAAGAGTGTTACTGGCAGGATCACAAAGTGGAAATAAAGGGGAAAAAAATAAAAGCAGCCATCACATCTAAGGTTTGGCAAGCTGCAATATAGATACCCCATATGGAAGCCTATCTCAGCTAGGGTTGCATGGAATGCTGGATTTCCTCCAGAGGTTTCTAGGGGTTGCTTTAGCAATAAGAAATTTCTGGAGCTGAGATAAGTAACCACTGACACCAATGAATGTTTTGGCTATCTGTAAGAGGGGATTCTTCCCAATGACTACAAATGTAAGGAGCTTTCTTCTCAATGACCACCATACTAATGTACTTTGAGCTGTAGATGTAGTAATTATTAGCAGGGGTTCCCTGAGACCGGAAACCTATTTCAAGGGTTTCTCCATGCTGAAAAGGTTGAAAGAGACTGCTGTACAGAACCCTGTCATGACTCAAACACAGAGGCTTCCACTGACAATTTGTCCTTCTGAAAATGCTAGTTGCCTGGCTGTTATGCAAACATTAAAACCACTGAAATGCCATTTCAGAAAAAGCACCTGCTGCTCCAGAACTGTATCAGCTTGAGACTGTATGTTCTGGACTTCATTCACTGCATCAGGTGTTTGATCGTGGGTGTATGAGCTATTACGTTGATACAGACCCACATCAATGACTGCAGGCCCGTAGTAATTCTGTATGTAGACTTCCATGTAGCAACTAAAAAAACATACAAAACACAGAGTTAGACAGTCTGAGTCTATAAAGGTATACCTGAGTCTCCCCTACTCCATTGGTTCTGTGTGCAAGGAGAGGCTACTCAGGGGTGACCTAGATGATCAACAAGATACCAGAATGAAGAATACACCCTACACACAGTTTAGTCAGATTAATAGCCTTCAAAGATCCCATAGTTTTATGATACCCCACAATGCATAGTATAGCCCGGGTCACACTCACACAGACACGAGACATCAGAGTCAGACATTACCTTTCTCAGCAGGCACAGCTTCACCTGATGAATGGGAAAAGAAGGACTGGAACTCCCCAGTGATTAGCAGCCACCAGCAAGTTTGCTGTAAGGGACTGAGTCTGAGAGGAACACTGGAAGGAGCTCCAGCTCAACTGCTAACCTACCTGTCCAGGCGGGAGGGTGGCCTAGGGATGGTCAACCCGATCGTTTTCTTCTCTTTTATGTTTGTAAAACATAATTTTGGTAATATGCTGAAAGAGAAGCCGCCTTCATGGGTAGGTTTGTTTCGGGCTTGGTTTAGACCCTTTCTGAGCTGTTGGGAGAGTGGCGGGCCAGTGAGAAGCCTGAGAGTCAAGCATGGTAAGCTCCCGGCTTATGTTGCCCAGAGCTTGAAAATACTTAGGCGGTGGTGTGTGACGGCGGAGGAGGTCAGATCGCTTCCTGGGAAATTCCTCAGGGAGAGGGTCGTGGCCACTGCCTTTCATGCACCGCTGGCCTTGAAGGATTACCCAGGCCATAGTCTGCGGGAGGGCTTAAGATTGATAAATATGGAAAGGATTCCCTTAAAGTTTAGGGGGACCAGGCCTGGCTCGCGTTCCATGGCAGGCTATATGTGAGAGGGAACTTGAAGTGCCGTTCTCTGGACAACTGTGGTTGTCCGAGGACGGAGTGTGGGGATGAAGTGGAGACTATGGACCACTTCTTGCTTCAGTGCCCTTTCAATATAGAGGTGTACAAAGAGGTGGGGAGGGCTCTAGACATCCCCTTCCTGCACTGCATGTCTTATGCAGAGTGGGTATATGGGGCCTTCAAAACACAAGTGGATTTTGATTTTGACACTCTTTTTTTAGTTTGTCTAGTGGTCCGTTACTACACTTGGAACGCACGGTGTCAGGTTTCCATTCGGCAGAAAATTCTTCCTGTCTCGGTGGTGGTGTATGACATCCTTGGTGAGGTTGGGAAAATTCGGGTGTCTTGAGAGAGACAGGCAGCGGCGAAGGACCTGGATAGAGGCGTGGAGGAATATCCGGTCTGTAGCCGCGGTCTGTTGAACTCTGGGTGAGGATTCTGTTCTTTTTTCCTCTGTGTTTTCACTCCTTTCGATTTTGATGACAAGAGCTTTTTGAAGAAAGGCTATGTGCATCTGAAGATCTATGTTTCTTGGCCTTTACTCTGTGTTTGTTAGTAGTATGGTGTGTTTTTGATATTTTTTGTTTTAGGAGGATGTTGTAACCAGATAGGGTTTTTCTTTGTTTATGACCAGATGTATGGTTTTTTGTATTTATTTATTTATTTTGTATATATGTATTTTATACCTTTTTGTAAGAAAATTTTGATGCTGGTTGCAAGATTTTATCTAATAAAATATTTCCAGCTCAACTGCTACTCTGTCTGCAGACACCGGGCATCTTCTTCTGTCCTTTCTTCCTCCCCTCTGCTGCCCCTCCTCTCAGCTGGAGGATCATTCATGACGTGGCGACGTCATACTCAGAGAGAGTGTTGGCCTGTGCTGCACCCTGGGACCCCTAAGTGGCAGTTTGCCCTAGGCGGCCACCTAGCTTGCCCAGTGGCACCGGCCCGGATTACAGCTTACCAGTCCTTAGATGTGGTGGTTGTATTAGTTGTTTTTTCAGCCTAAGCACATTATCTACAAGTACAGAAAAACACCCATTGATTTTCCAAGCAATCTGGTGTCCTTGTAACTTTCTGTGTACTAGAAGCTTTCCCAGTGATATTCTGTGAACTACAAAACATTTCCCTCCTCATGTAATGGTGATGAATGGGGGGGGGGGGGTTGTGTTTGTAATCCTAATCAGGAGAGCAGCCTAGGGTGACAATGTAGTCCTGTCATATATTGACAACACTGCTCTTCCATTAATACAGTCCAGTAGGTGAGTGTTGTCACCCTAGGACAGGAAGTGTGTTACTGGCAGAATCACCAAGTACAAGTAAAGGAAAAAATAGCCTGAAAATAAGAAAACTAATGCAGCCACTACATCTAAGGACTTATAAGCTGCAGTATATTACAATTTTGGCACTGGGCTTAGTTGCGCTTTAAAATGTTACTAAACCCACAACATTAAAATCAGTCTGTATTTGCAGTAAAACATGTTTGTTATACTCACTGTGGAATCTAAGGGGTTAATCCTCTGCATTGTGTAAAAAGGCTGTTTGATCCTGTCTTCTCTGATCCTCCCCTTCTTCTACTGTCCCCAATCCATCTGCTGATCTGCTCTAGGAGTCACTCTGCAAATGCTCAGTTTAGTGTGTGCTGCTTATTTTCCTTGGAAGAGTGCATATGTGATCAGCACAGGGCCAATCAGCACTATCCAGACAGAGGGTCAGGGGTCATGCATACTGCCTTAAACGTTAGTACCGCTCAGTGCACCATCCAGCCCCATGCAGGCACAGCAGCTTTTAGCCTCTCATTGAGTTTCACAGGCTGCCAGCAGCTGGGTAAGATGGTGTGCCTGTGCCTTCCAGCTGAACCTAAACATTTGAATATTTTGCAACAGGGCTAAACGCATAGTATGCATGAACCTTTTTTTGTTTTTGATACCATGGAGAAAATCTGGGACCCCTGGAGTCCATGTCCTTACTTCCTTGTGTAAGTCATAGGATACGTCTAATATCCCAAAAACAATACTTTGATCAGTGTATGGCCAGGTTTTGAGTGATTCTTTTGGATCATATTCACACCCATTGCAAAGTTCGGATGGTCACGGAACTGATAGTATATGTCCAGTTTTACCGCTTAGTTGTAATATCCCAGGTAGATATTCACAGGCAGGCAAGGAGGGCTTTGTGCCAGGCAGGACACACATTAGAACTGGATTCAGAACTACATTACCAGTGAGTGAGGGCCAGGGGTGGACTGACAACTCATGGGGCCCCCGGGCAATAGGGGATCATGGGGCCCCTGTGTCCTTGCCCAAACTCAAAAAAGCCTATGAAAAAGGTACCAGGGGCATCTCATGGGGCCCCATACTGCCCTGGGCCCTCGGGCAGTGCCCAAGTTTCCAAATGGTCAGTTCGCCCCTGGTGAGGGCTGACTATTTGTGAGCGCAATTATACAATTTCAATGGGTCATATTTGATGGACATATCTATCAGGTGGATTATCTGACTTAAAGGAAAATTCCACCTTTGGAAAAAAAATAATAAACGTTCCCATATTGCAAAATGAAAAAATGTGCATTCAATATACTTTGCATTGGAATTTTCAAATCTTTGCAACCGCGATCAGTGGAGTGTGGATGAAATGCTCTCACCCCAGCATATTTAAACTGGGTATACATGTACCGAAATTTGGCCAGTTTATGAAGAACCAAATGAATTTTAGTATGTGTGTATCACTGTCTGTTCAAAAGATGTTGGTGTAACGACCGGCGTTTGGTGAACAGTCCTGCTGGAAAACCCACATTCGACCAGAGCTTGCAGCGCTGATCAGTGTATTCGCTTGAATGAAAAAACTACGAGGGGCTTTCAGTCACCCCTCGTATATGTTATACCTTGTGTTATTTTTCTGCTTAGGTCCATACCTCAGTATGATGTTTAGTTAGATTTTTTGGTCCAACCTGGATTTACTTATTTCTTTATTTATAGAGATTTTACCCTATCACTTGAACATCAGATATATGTGATCCTTCCAACAGCGGTATGCCTGTAGGCAGGTGCAGTCTTAATTCTCCACTGCAGGTGGTGCTCGTCCACAGTGACAATGCAGATGGGAGAAGCAGTTAAGAGAATATGTGTTTCTCTAGGATTTCCTCAGTTACTCAAGCAGTGATCCAATTGGATGCACATGCCCCATGTGACCCTGGTGGCCATATTTGGTCAAGCAGAGTCTGTTTAAGACTCTGACACCTACGTTTGGTGCACATTATGCAAGTGGACAGTTTAGTAATAGGTCCCCATCTGACAGTGGTGACGGTGATAGAAAGACGTTTCGGTGGAGTAGGGAAAGAGCAGGGACTACGTCTACCTCTTCAGGAAGCTTCACATTTGGGTCTGACTGACCAGGCCACAGTACACTCCTTGTGGCAGATGCTGTCGGCATCCCTGAGTCTTCTGACCGCTGTCAATCTGCTGCATGGTTGTAAGAGGCATCGGACAGGGGAGCCTCCTGCCAGGCCTGTTTGTGCTGTTAACTTGCTGTTTCAGTACAACAGTCTTTGGAATCGGGACTTTGAGTGTTTGCTGTCTACCACACCACACTGCACCTATTCAACATGTCCCCATTGGATGGATTTCTTTGTGTGTATTGAAACTGACTTCTAGCCCTATATAACTTTTGGTTTATTTGGATTTTATATATACAGAGCATGAAGGTGTGGTAACCCTTCAGCTTGAGCTCTTCAGTGCCCACTTGACCTCCTTGGAGCCATCGCCATTTGGGGTCCCCCTTTTCCTCCCCTGGTACTGCATTGTACAGCGCTACTGTACATCTGACTTTACAGAGTCTTGTTTTTTGCTTTTGTGAGTAATACTTGTTTTAATTTTGTAAATTGTTCAGTATTATGTTTTAGATTTGATGTACAGTATGTTTCATCATTATATACCATTTAAAAATACATTTATTATTGCAGATTACTAGCTTGATGTTTCCTGAAAAGCCTTTTGAAATGTTGAGAAGTGCCCCCCCAACAACACAGTAGTATTATTAGCACCTTGATATCTCCTGAAGAAGCTTTTTACATCTTGAGATGTGCCCCCCTCACCCTCCGTCAACACAACATTCTACTAATTATTTTGAGATAATACTTCTCTTTCCTTCCTTATGTGAAGTATAACATGCTATGTTGTTGACTATTTTTGTGGGTGGGGCTACACACAGGGTTTTCTGTCATATCCTAGCACTTGCCGACCATATAACTTAGTTAAAAGGCGGCCGAGCGAGCGCCCTGCTCTGGATTACGTACCTAGTACAATATCTGAGCGCTCAGCGCTCAGGCAGAGGGTGCGTGCGCGTTCCAGCCAACCTGGCTCTGCTGTGTTTCATCACAACACATACCGATCACTGTGTCCCAGCTAATGATTGATCACTGGCACCCGGTGATCCGCTCTGATCTTCACTGAACACAGCTCTATAAACGTAAACAACACAGTGCTGTGCTCTGTGACAGGAGATCTTGTTGTTTGTTCATTCCTTGCAGAGAATTAAAACAACTAGATCCCCAGTGAAAGCAGTATATATCTCACACAGAAACATTTGTAATGCACACATTTAACCCTTTGATCGCCCTAGATGTCAACCCTTCCTGCCCAGTATCATTAGTGCAGTGACAGTGCATATTATTAGCACTGCCCCCTGTAATATTGGCACTGGTGATGTCAGTGACTGTTAGTCAGTTCCCCTCTAGCATCAGTTAGTGTCAGATTACTCGCTGCACTATCGCAGTCTCGTTATAAGTCGCTGATCGCCACCATTACTAGTATAAAAATAACTAACTAAAATAAATAAAATATATATATATATATATATATATATATATATATAAATAAAATTTCCAGTATATATCCCAAAGTTTGTAGATGCCATAACTTTCAAACAAACCAGTCAATATACATTTTTTTTTTTTTTTTTACCAAAAACATGTAGCAGAGTACTTTTTGGCCAACATTTATTAAGAGTTTTGATATTTTTACATTTTTGTAATTTGTAAATTTCCAGTATATATCCCAAAGTTTGTAAATGCCATACCGTTCATATAAACCAATCAATATACACTTTGTTTTTTACCAAAAACATGCAGCAGAATACGTTTTGGCCAACATTTATTAAGAGATGTGATGTTTTTATATTTTTTATTGGGTATGTTTTATAGCAGAAAGTAAAAAGTAAAAAATAGTGGGGTTTTTTTTTTTGTTTGTTTTTTTTTTAATTGTTGGTCTATTTTCGTTTATATAATAAAAAAATTAAAAAACCCAGAAGTGATCAAATGTCACCAAAAGAAAGCTCTATTTGTGTGAAAAAAATTATATAATTTTTGTTTGGGTACAGCATTGCATGACTGTGCAACTGTCAGTTAAAGTAGCGCAGTAGCAAAAAATGGCCTGGTCATGAAGGGGGTAATCTCTTCCGGAGGGCAAGTGGTATTAATATTTTGCACCACGATTTATTTTTATTTTATTTATTTAATTATTATTGATGGCTACACCATTTACTTGATTGTGAAAAGTTTTTATTTTATCATTTTTAATACGTGATGCACAATAAACTAATCTAATTTTACCTACATCTTGCATTTGTTTCCTTCCAGAAAGTACAAGCACTTTAAATTCCCATACTTTTTCTTATTTTTGGATTTTCAGTAAATTCTGTGTGTAGATGTAGATAAAGCACATGTGCACTACACCAGATCCTGACTGGCTCCATCTGAGACCCCTCTCTTTCCCGATATAAGTCTCGCTGCACTGGGGATATCAGGATATAATATCCGATAAAACAAACTCAAGTATCTATATACTGTAAGCTGCTATTAGAACAATACATGTAACAATTTAACTGTTAATTCTGAACTAATCTTAAAAATGCACCAAATTGTTTGCATGCCCAGATCTATTGGTCCAACACACACTTACGGTTTTCCCTTCTGGAGGAAGAAAGTCTGTGATTTCTGAGAGGAAGATGAGGTGTAGGAAGTTGTATAGCCACCATAGGCCACTTTCACCTGACACAGGAAAGAAAGTAATCTGTTAGAATCGTATTTAATTTTATTGGTTCTGCGGTAAATAATTAAAACTATATAAGGGGTACAAACAATGTTTCAAAAAAGGAACATAAGTGGATCTGGGATCCTTAGAATGGGTAGCTTTTGGTACTCAACCTACAGCTTTCAGCAGCCACTTGGCAAAGGGGTCTCCAACACATTCGGAAGAAGGTAACTTATGAGATAGTTTTGGGTTAGCATTAAGGATTAGGGTTCAAAGTTTAAGGCTCCGTTCACACCAATGCATTTTTTAGTGCATTTTGCTTTTTGCAGAAACGCACTACAGTCCATTTAACCATAGAACATGTCCACATCTATGCTTTTTTGAGCTGCTGCATTTTTGGAAAGGGTGATGACTTTTTCAAAAGCAAGAAGCAGCGTTTTTGCTACAATAGAGCTGAATGGAGAAGCTGCTGAAATGAGTGGTAGTGCGTTTTTGCCATATTTTGCATTTTTATTCTGTCCAGCAACAAAACAAATTCCACTTCAACAAGAAACTTCAACAAGAAAAAAGAGCCAAGCAAAACGTGGTAAAAATGCAATTTTTGAAGGGGGTGCTTGAGTATTTAACTTAGGGTAGGGTTTAGGATTCACTTTGAGCCTTAAAGCAGAACTACACTGCATCTGAACACCACAAATCAAAAATGCTAATTCATTTGTTTTTAATATTCAAAGCAAACTCATCCATCCATCGATCCATGCTTCCATGCTTAATTTGCTGAGAAATCACTCTGAACACCCCCTCCCATTCCCATGGCCATCTTGAGTAAGGGCAGATGATTCATGTAACATTTACTTCTTGGAACCTATCTGCACTTAGCTCCGGTATGCAAGCAGGAGGGTGTGCTTAGCATAGAAAGCCCTTCTTTCCCTCCTGAAGACTCCTGGGATGTATGACATCATTAACTTAGGTCAGGAAACTGGGAAGTAACGGACGAAATGTAGAAAAAAAAAAAGGTTAAAACAAGTAAATATAATATACCTTCCTATCTATTTTATAATGCTAGCAGCATAAGGATAGAATAGCCAATGTTTACGTAGGCTAGGTTCACATATGTGCGAGTGGTGCCGCTGCAGATCCGTGCAGCCGCACCACTCGCACAGAAGAATGCGGACCCGCAGGCAGGTGTCATTAATTCAAATGGCACGCCGCCCGCACTGAAAATTGCAACCGTACTGGGAACCGAGGTTCCCGTGCGGGCTGTGTTTTCAGAAGAAGTGTAGGGACTTCTTCCCTG